CTAATTATCTCGACCTAAGCGAATCTTAGGCCTTAGATATTTGTAAGCTATTACTTAGTCGATGCTATGGCTTTCAATCTGACTTTTATTGCTAACTAAAAGGTTTATTCATAAATTTTATCTTTGAGGTATTAATTTTAAGACTAATTATTTTTGACTCTTCATAAGGTGTTTACCATTTTTGTAGCTATGTTAACTCGTATCAGGTCTTAAAACTATGTCATCGGCAAATCTTAGGTGGTTCAGATGCCCTCCATTTATATGAATTCCCATATTCCCCTGGCTGCATTCGCTTGAACATAGTACAGCTGTAAATAATTTCGGGGAAATGGTATCACCCTCTCTAATTTACCGTTCTATCCGGAACTTTTTGGTATCTTTATGACGTCGGACATAACAGTGAACCAGTTTCGTAGATCATCTTAATCAAGGCAATATATCGGTAATCAATATGGCAGTTCGCCATAGTGTCGCCATAGTATTTATCATAGTGTACAAATATAAGAAAGATAGGTTTTTTATATTCTGTGTACTTTTCTACTAGCGTTTTAATAGCTTGTAGATAATAATTTGTTCCGTATTTGTACCGGAACCCAGCCTGTTTGCAAGGTTGGTAACTATTCAGTTTATTCACTAGCCGTTTCGCTATTATCTTCATGAATAGTTATGTATGAGAAAGCAAACTAATAAATCTTTAGTTTTTTAGATCTGAAATGTCACCTCCAAGAGCTTAATATTCAGACTCGACTTTCGTCTATTTGCCTCTCCACCGTCTTAAAATTTTTCGGCCATATTGCAAGAAGAAGTGATGATAATCTTGAGAGACTTATAATTTCGGGAAACGTTGAAGGGCGCAGAAGTAGAGGTCGCTCACCTATTCGATGGACGGATCAGGTACAGAAAGCCAGTGGAAAAACATTTTCAGAATCCATGAGGGAAGCTCAGGACAGAAGCCGATGGAAAGAGATAGTGGCTCGTATTATAGGGAATCACGACACTCAGCAATGAGGAAACGACTGAGGAGGAGGAGTCACCTTTTTATACATTATGTTATTATTGCATTATGCCATTGGGAGCGGTTACGCCTATTGTCAAACAAACATTGAACATATTTTTCAACACATTAATTAACATTTCTCTTTCTTCTTTAATTTGTGCAATGACTATCAACAATACGCTGGCTAACAAGCAGATCTTACAGTGGGGATTCCGATCCACACAGAAAAGTAAGCGGTTGCAAGGTATTTTGGTAGCATTGCTAGTAGGTTGGACAAATCGTGCTTGTCATAATGTAAACAAAAAAGGCATTCAGACATCAAATGTTCGAAAATCTGTTTAGGGCATATTATTGAAAATTTTTCACCAATGTAAAGGTAATCCTGTATTTTTAACTCTGTAACCGATCCCAAGCCCGGTTAAAAAAAGAGGAAGGTAAGTGGTCAATGGATGGGTCGTGGTGGCCTTTTTGATTAAATATCAAGCAAAGTCCTAGATGACATACGTCAATGTCATTAACAAGTCCTACCCACGGTGTGTTAGGTGGAAGTAAATACATCTATCACATTATGAGGAATAGCAAAAGATATGGATTACTGCAACTAATTTTACAGGAAAAATAAGAAAAATGAAGTCTAGAAAGGCATACGATTTCCTGGTTGAAGAAACTGCGTACGTTGTTAAATACAATTATCACTAATATTTTTAGGGCAGAAGCTTGCAACGTACACATTGGACTGATGGAAAAACCATATTCGAAACGGATAGGCACTACAACAAGAAGAAAAGTTTAAAGAATTTTAATGGGGAAACATCATTACAGATTAGAAAAATCAGAATAGGATCTTGAAATCTTGGAAATTTTACAAGACAGAGTATGGAAATTGTAAATACCCCTAAAAGCGAGAGAGTAAAAACTGCTTGTATTTAGAAAGTGGAAAGAACAGGAGCAAAAGAACTAGGTGAAAGATACAATTTGAGGTATGTAGAGATAAGTAACACTAGGAAAACAGTAGGTATAATTGATGGTAGAGAAATTAAAGAGAGTAGTAAGAGTTGAACAAACGAGTGCTGCTTGTTAAAAGAAGTGTTGCATGTTGTGTGTATATGCACCTCAAGTCAGTCTGAGTGAGGTTCCATCAAAGGAAAAGGTTATAATAGCTGGTGATTTAAATGCACATTTGGGTCAATCTGATAGAAAATGTACAACAATAGATAGTGGAGTAGGCTATTAAATAAACAATGATGGTTAACATATTCTTTCAAAGAGAGAAAGTCAAATACTCACATACAAAAATAGACAAAATCATTGTCGACCAAACTATTTCATGACAAGAAAAGAAGATATACATGAATTTAAGAACTGTAAGGTAATAGTGAGACTTTATAAGTTGCTTGTGAAAATGTGAAAATTTAAGTAAGCATCAAAACTAAATCCAAATATCGGAGATTGCCAAAAAATCAAATTAATAATGTTAAGAGATAAGAAAGAAATTTTACTCAAAGCAAAAATGCTACAATTTAAAAAAATATGTCAAGCATTACTAGAGATATTACAATTGAAATATTTGGAAAAAGCTCAAGAACTGAAAGCTTTTTAAAATTTGGACTAAATGTGGTCTTGCATACCATTCAACAAAATTAATTCCAATATAAATTATTATCGGTCAGATAGCCAAGCGGGTTGGGCGGCCGGATTCTCATTCGCTTCACTGCGAGTGGGCCAGAGGATGTGAGTTCGATCCCCAGCTCGGTGTACAGAAAACAAAAAGGCTAACGCACCAGTTTAAAATTCTAAATTAATCTGCGGCTTAGCAAGAGATAAGAGCTTGCGGCTCAGTGATACTCTACATAAATCCCTACCGGAAGAGCATGTGTCGTCTAAATACCGGGTATATATATATAAATATATATATATATATATATACATATACATATATATATATATATATATATATATATATATATATATATATATATATATATATAATATATATATATATATATATATTCCAAAAAGAGTTACGTTGGTGCACATGGATTTCAGATATTTTGATCAACTTTTAGAAAAACTAAAACTAAACATATACTTACAGAAAAATAAACGTTGAAAATGTTAACATAACGATGAAAAAAGTGTTAGAGGGTCAATAAAGCGCGGTGAGCAAAAAAATCTATAGCTTGTGGGTTAATATACCCTACTATTAGTCTACTGGGCCTGAAACAAAGTCTATTAAGTAACTAAGAAATAAAAAATAATTGTTATCCAAGCTGCTAGAAATATCAATATAATATTTAATCAAGCAATTTAATGCAATATTTCAGAATTGTTGCAAATATTGTGAATTTTTCATATATTTGTGTTTTACTTTCAAAAAATATTTGTCAAAAATAAACAATTTTGGTTCAGCTATGCTGAAAATAAGTTTCTGTGATATAAATATCTGTAAGAAGATAAAAAATTCTAATCGATTGACATTTTTCCAATAATAAAGAATCTTTTTGTTTTTAAATTTTTATTTGGTTACTTTAAAGATATCTTCCAGTTCAATATTCTCTTATAGTTCAATTCGCAGCAACCCAATTGGAACTTTTTGCTAAGGTCCATATTAAATTCATGTCTATAAAGGTAGCATATTCGTTTTATACGACCGAATTCAGACCAACACTATATTTGATTGCTAATTTATTACAAAAAAAAAACAATATATTACTGTAGACGTTTCTGAGAAATAGTGGGTATGTTTACTTTACGGTAAAGCTGGCACAGCCATAGCTAGATCTCGACAAGGAAAAGAGCTACAGGCCTCATCTTGGCATCATATTTGATTGCCAATTAATTGCTGTTGATTGGTATATTAACCAATCCCCAAAAGCTCCCCATCATACTTTAACTCCAAATACACCCCCGGAAAACCGAAATATTGACCAAAAAGTAAACCGCAAAGAATTGATTGCTAATTTATTGCCAAAGTTTTACTCCAAGAAACAATTTATTGCTGCAACCGTTTTGAAATAACAATGAATACGCTATCTTTATGGTAAAGCTAGCATAGCCAAGCTATATCAGGACAATAAATAAGACTACACTTGGCGACATATCTTATTGCTATTTAATTGCTATCGATTACTATACTGACCGATCCCCAAAAACCACCTCAACATACACCTTATTGCAAAGCTTATTCCAGGAAAAATCTACATATTGGCCAAAAACTTTAAAACCAAAAAAATAAACCACAATGACTAAATGAGCAATAAATTAACAATTGAATACGGCCATATAAAATGAATATGCTTACTATAAAAACATATTAAATTCTACCATTGAATTTATGATAAAACTAAAGTTTTTTCTATGAAACAAATTTATATAGATATATACAAGTAGCTAAAAAATAACCTTAAGGAGAAATATATATACAACATGCTGTTAGTTTTATAACCAATTACATCACACATGCACAACTGATAGAGCAAGAATGGTTGTAAGCTGTTCAAGAAGTTTCATTGTTTGAAGCTATGCCATGAGATGTTTTGTTAGATTTTTAGCATGTCTTGATGTATTGAAACATTACCATACTCCTTTAATAATTAAGTGAAACATATGGATCTACTATTTAAACTTTTTAATACACCAAGACATCTCAAGCCTATCAAAGATGTACAGTACCTTCTTGCCACGCCTTCCTCTTGCTCCCTTTTCACCAGGGGCACCTGGAGGTCCTACAGGTCCTGGTTCTCCTTTATCACCTTACAACATAGTTTTTAATACCATTGAAAACGTGTCAAATAAAAATAGGTAAAATTCTATACAGCTCATGCCAATATTTGCATTTATAAAAATAATATAAACACTAGATTATAAAGTTAATATTATTAGCACATCCTGTATAGCAAAACTAGATTTAAAAAGTAATCAAATGAATTAGATGAATTAATACTATATCGAACACTTAAAATGATCTATTTTGTTGAAAGTTAGGATAGCTTAAAAAATTCACCTGGTGGTCCTGGGGGACCTGGTGGACCTTCGATGATACCTGTGGGGAACTGGTCACCAGTTAATGTTGTCGTAAGACCTCTTTCACCTTTATCTCCTTTGTCTCCCTGCAAAAACAGTACAAGTTTTATCTTGAAAATAAAAACAATACGTTTTTAATTATACTCATGGTTAGTATCTACCATCGAGCAAAAAGATAAAAGAGGGAATGTAAAGGTAGTGGGGACAAAAATATTGTTAGACAGGAAGTGCTATCTTGAGAGGCCACTTTAAACAAGGAAAGACAGTCTCTTTCCTTGTTTGAGAAGTCAAATTTAGTTTGGTTATGTTATTGTTTGTCACAACTGTCACATGAAATTTTATTTATATTGAAGTTTTTTACCAATTGTGTCACTTTTTAGACTATTATAGTTAATATTTAATTAAAACTTTCTCGTCAAAAAAATATTTTATAGCTATTGTTAATAAGTGTTGGAAAATTTAAATTTAGCGCCTTTGCATTTCCGGATATGTCCGCCATCAGAGGCCACTTTTTTGGTCTCCTTTTCATAACGATTAGATTCCCTCTTTTATCTTTTTGCTCGATGGTATCTACATAGAATGGAGTATGTAATAGAAATAAACTGATATGAATAAATAACAGGTATAGTTAATTAAACGACATTAGGAAATGTAAGCGGACTAGTAATCGAAGAATTACTTCATTAGTAACATTTTTTTCCTAATAGACATACAAAGAATCTCCAAGTAGGAAGGAATTTCAACAAAAATACAATTTATTAGTAAGATAAATGAAAAACATGAATCTTTTGCTGATTCGAAACCTTCACCCCTCTCATGCTATCAGTAAGACCGCTACTACCTTCACTGCTTGTTAACCACAAAACTATCTCGGATTCTCTACAAATCATCTGTTTTTTGAGACTTACAGGCTTACCAGGTTCACCTTTGCTCCCATTTCTGCCGGGAACACCCTGCGACAACAAATAATATATGAAAAAACCTAACGATTACAAAAATTTAAGTTATCTCACAGGCAAACCCATATGTCCTGGAAGTCCTGGATATCCTGATACGCCCATTACTCCCGTTGGACCTCTCTCTCCCTAAAAGTGATGTATGAATAATGAAAAATGATCCTATAGTTTAAATATATACTTTAAATGTCTTACTTTTGGTCCGATCATACCATCCAGGCCGGGGGGTCCGGGTGGTCCCATTGGTCCCGACTCTCCTCGATCTCCAGCTGGTCCTGGTTCTCCAGGCATACCTTGTCGACCATCATGTCCAGGCATGCCTTCAGATCCTGGAGGACCTGGTGGTCCTGGTGGTCCTGGTTCACCAGGTTCACCCTACATAAGAAAAATAATGAAATATGTATGTATGTACATAAAATGACATAATATTGAAAATATTTAAAAGAAAACTGGAATCCGAAAGAAATAAGAGTTTAGAATCCTTATAATTACTGTGTATTTGTTTGTTCTTAACACGTTCACTGCCACGTTAGTACCATAGGACCAATACTGATACTTCATCAGTACCACATTGGTCCTATGGGGCCAACATGTAATTTGTCCTACCAGGCCATGTTGGTTCCATGGGGCAACACCTTTTCTAATGGCTGATATGCCATTGGTGCTTATTTAAATATGTACAATTGTAGAAATGGACCAACATGACCTAGAAACTGTATTCCCCACATCCAATTTCTTACATTTTTTCATAATGAAGAACGTGGTTCCTATTGAAAAATGATCCCTAATAAAACGTTATACTCACTTTAAAATAAATTTTATTTAACAAATAAACGCAAATATGTATTAATGAATAAAATATACAAATAATATACAAAAAATAAAAATTCTTATCTTATTTAATTTTTATAATGTTCATTAAAACAAGGTATGCACAAAAATAGCTCCTTCGCACAACCTCTACAAAAGGGACATCCTTTTAGTTTATTGCATATTGGTGTCCATACTATTCACTTTTCTTCTAATAACATTTTTTGTAGATCTTTCTTTGTTGATAGTAACTTCCATCTGATTTCTCTTCAATAACGTGATAAACAATTGGTGTAGGTAACTGGTAATTGGTGTAGGTGTGTCACTAGATGCTTGACTATCAGCTTTTTAAAATATTCTTCTTATGGTGCCTATTCGTTACGGATGTTGGACACTAACATGGCTATTCTGACTTTGTTGACTGCTGCCCTGAATAGTCCGGTAGTGGTTAAGTTAAACCACTTTCGCAGGTTATGCAGCCAGGATATTCTTCTCCGTCCTGGACCTCTTTTCCCATGCACTTTACCTTGAAGTATGTTCCGAAGTAGGTCATATCGTTGTTCATTGCGCATTATATGGCCCAGGTATTCTAGTTTGCGACTAGTTCGCGCTCTTTACCCATTCTATGTAGTACTTCTTCGTTGGTAATTCTGTCTATCCAGGAAATCCTCAACATGCGTCTATAGCACCACATCTCAAATGCTTCGAGTCTCTTCAGTGATGCTTCAGTTAAGGTCCATGACTCTACACCATATAAAAGAACGGAAAATACGTAGCATTTTAGTAAACGAACTTTTATTTCCAATTTTATGTCGTGGCTGTTAAAGATTTTTTTCATTTTGACGAAAGCTGATCTTGCCTTCTCGATCCTTATCTTTATTTCCGTCGATTGGTCCCACTGTTCATTTAAGTTTGCACCCAGATAACAAAAGTTGGTGATTTGTGTTATAGGTTGTTGGTTAACTAGTAATTGACCAGGTGGTATCCTATTTTTGCTTATAACCATGTATTTGGTTTTTTTGATGTTAAAATCAAGCCCAAACCTGCTACTTACTTCTGCCACCCTGGAGACAAGTGTCTGCAGACCTTCAAGACTGTCTGCAAAAATGACAGTATCATCAGCGTATCTTATGTTGTTCAATCGTTCTCCGTTTATAAGTATTCCCTCGTCTATGTCCGTTAGCGCTAGGTTCATAATGTGCTCTGAATATGTATTGAACAATAATGGGGACAATATACATCCCTGTCGTACACCTCTTTTTATCTTTATATCGTCTGTTAGCTGATCCCCAACTGTAACAGCTGCAGTATCTGTCACTGGCATATTTTCCCCAGTTACAAACTTGTATAAAATATAAGAATTTACCATAGATATCGTTAATAAAAAAGTTCGAAAGCTACTTTTCTAAACCATTTTACGCTTTTTTTTAGAGGATTAATCGGATAAATCAAGTGGTGCCCTGCATTTAGAATAGTAAATGTAATAGCATATGTAATAAATGTAGTCAATGTAAAATATATGTTCGACGTGAGGGGACAAATGTTAAAAAATATATTTGGCAGCGAAAGCGTTAAAGATTTTTCTACATCCACATGTATTTAGCAATATTTATTGTTAAGAACAATAGGAAAGTGTTACAACAATTTAAAAAGGTAACATTTTGCTCTGGAAGGCAGTAATAAGGATATATTATGTGTAACAAATATTTAAACTAAAATTATTGTCTGTACTGGCCATTAAACTAAAAAGGCGTTCTCATTATCAATTTTTATCATTTTTACTGCGTACGAGTAGATACACGACCGAATTGTTTTCTCTTTCAAAACCTTAATTCTAGTCCAACGCTAACAGCACGTCTAATAAAAAATCTCGCTGTGATACAAATTTATATCTCTAATTAAAACCGCGGAACTTGTCGAATATGGTAGTGTGCTAAAAGTTATGATATGACATCAACTACTCACCCTAAAACCAAATTATGCTGGGAATATTTTCGGGACGGTAGGAAGTAAAAGGAGAAAAGCAATTTTGTCGGTAAATAATTTCAGCAGTAAATTCGTCGGGGGTTGCCAAGTTTACGTATTTTCCGTACTTCAAGGAATAATGCTTGATTTCATTTGCGGTACGTACGATTCTTAATACTTTTTCTCATTTTCTTACAAAGTTCTCTGTATTGATTTCTCTGATTGCTGCTACTTACTTTCATTTCTCTTTTTTGTTTTAGCATTATTTTAGTCTTATCAGACAGTTTACTATGTTCATTTTGTTGTTGTGGGCCTCAGATTTATTTGGCACTATCAACGATGTTTTCCGTCAATTGTGTTGGTAACCGACTATCGATTTGGTTATGACATCTTTTATCAAATATCCTTTGGTATTAATCTGAGTTTAAATTGTTAACATTTATATCGGTTACTGTCGATTGTGTGCCTCATTTTATTCTTTCTAGTCTTAGAACAAACCTCGATCTGATTAGTCTATGGTCACTGTCTCTTTGAAATATATTTAGTACGCTGACATATTTTATTGTAAAATCTTGTTGGTTAGAATAAAGTCAATTTAGTTCTTAGTGGTAACATTTGGTGCATCCAAGTCCATTTTCGGGTTGATTTTTTTTAAAGAATGTATTTACAATATGCATGATTTGGTAGTGTGCAAACTGAACCAGTATTTCTCCCCTTTTATTTTGAATTTTGACACAGAAATTCGCTACAAAAAGACAAAATACCGAGCAATCAATAATAAACAAATATTATATCTCTGAAATATAACATTATATAACGAAATAATGCATACAGCAAACAGCGAAAAGAGAAGAATGCTAGATCCATAATATAAATATACTATTACTTTTTTATATACCAACACTGATGACAACTTTCCATTTTTTCATTATTTTTCCTTCTGCTATTTAATAACCTCTGCATTTTATCAATATATGCTTTTATTTTAATATGACTATCACTACTAAGACCTTTTTACCTATATATATATATATATATATATATATATATATATATATATATATATACTTATCTTTCATCTTCTTTCATGTAGATTTATTTATAAATTTTGCTTTATGAGTTACGTATTTTTCCACATTTGCAGAATTGGATATTTTTATTTTCATATAATTGGCTACATTATCCGATTTATTAACTTTTACGTGATTCAGCCTATTTTTACCGTAAATTTCTTATATTTTATTTGTTTTGCTTCTATTATTTCTGTCTTCTGTGTTATTTTGTTTCGGTTCAAATGTCATCTAAGTTTCATTATCCAAGTTATCTACGGACGCATATAAGTACAATCACTCCGCATCATAGAAAACGGGCTACTCCAAAATATTTAAAAATATTTTCGAAATTATTATTTATTGCTACAAAATTAAGCTTTTATTTTTTTGTATATTGAATTAATATTATTTTGTTTATAATGTGTCTTGGGTTATTTAAGTTAAATCGGTTGTTGCGAAAGCAAACCGACCCTGTAACTGGATTGAGGATATTCGTAGAACCTATATATTATTACTTAACTATATTTTGAGAAAACGTTTTTTACAACTTGATTAATTTTCGAGGAAGCGATTATTTTCAGAAATGTATGATATTGTAAAGGGTTCTAATGAGTTTTAAACGCGTCTCAGTATTACAATAGCCGACTTAGTGTGAAGTAGTCTTGAGTTAATAAGGATAGAAAATTTTCAAAAATCGGTTGAAGTTCTAACGTTACTGGGAAGTGGATTAAGTCAAAGACAAATTGCAAGACAATTGAATTTTAGTCGTTCGACTTACAAAGTTTATTGTTCAACCTGTTCAACCCAAAACGTTATAATTTCCATGCCAAATCGAATGAGGAGTGTCATCCAGAATCAAGATGCCAATACCCATTACTGACAATGGATACCAGCTTTATTTTAATATACAGTTTATTGTAGTTTTAAAAACTGTAAGTTGATTTTTTCAATAAATTTTTCTATTTTTCTTATTTTTTTTTTAATTTTTGATTGATGTTTCACGATATTGATGAAATTCTTTACTAAGCGAGTTATTGATTCAATGTAGAAAAAAATAAATGCCTAATTTTGTAGCAATAAATAATAATTTCGAAAATATTTTATATATAGTGTTTTGTGTAAAAACTACATAATTATTCTGTATAATATTAGAGCAGGGTCAATAATTTTTTTAAACCAAAAAAACTATAGTAGAATGAAACCTATTCGAAAAAGAAGAGAATATGCTAAAATAGGAAGAAAAAATAAATTACACACTCTGTCCGAGGTCGGGAAGTGGGAGGAGGGAGGGGGTTAAGTTTTTTTTACTGAAGACAACGAAGTGTACTTACATTAAAATCTAGTCAGTAGGACCAATTATCAATTTGTTTCTAACTTGAAACTACAAGTGCTATGGAAAAAAGGTAAACAGCAAAGTTGTAGGTAATAAAAAGATCTAGAACGTTTGTATTCACACTTTTTCACATAACCTTAAAATTTTTGTGGAAAATTCAAAAAACTAAATTTTTGATTTTTGATTTTTATCTTTTAAGAAAAAAAATTTTTTTACTAAATTAGGTGAAAACTTAGCCATAGTACGTATCAAATACACTGTAATTTTTTGGAATTGAAAAATTTATATTTTTACCTTATATTGATTTATTATCGAAAAAGCACCCTAGTGTATTTGATACAGACTAAGGAAAGTTTTCACCAAATTTCGTAAACAATTTTTTTTTTAAAGATAAAAATTAAAAATCAATAACTTACTTTTTTGGATTTTCCACAAAAATTTTGAGGTTATGTGAAAAAAGTTTGAATAAAAAAGTTGTAGATCTTTTTGTTACCTACAACTTTTCCGTTTAACTTTTTTCCAAAGCACTTGTAGTTTCGCCTAAAATCGCGATAAATATAATTTCCCGACCACGGATGGAGTGTAATTTATTTTTCTTCCAATTTTAGCATATTCTCTTATTTTTCAATAGGTTTTATTCTACTATATATTTTTTTTACTTTTTACCTTTTTTAAAGGCTTCGACACTGGCCTATATCGGCAACACTGTGTTGGTTGTGTAGCTCGTGACGTAAACGTGTAAACATGTGCGATTGGGTGCAATGAAAAGTCGATTAGGACTTTTTCCCGATTGGTTAGTTAAACGTAAACAAATGCATTTTTTAGTGATTATGTAAAGTTATGTGATTAAATTATTTTTCCTGTTTTTTAAGCAATTACCGTGTAATTTAAAAGTTTCCGAGCACTTTTTGCTCATTTCTAAAAGTGCTGTAACATTAAAATATATTCCGTTTCCGCCTATAGTTTTTTTACTTAACTAATGGTTTGTACCCTTTTATCATAAGAAAACGTATTTGAGAACAAACATTTTATTATAAAATAGTGTATCATGCTATTTAAATTTATCATGCAACATTTAAAAAAATAAAAAGGTAAAATAAAGAAAATAAAACTCACTTTCAGGGTTATCAATACTTCGCCAGAAATATTGTGACCCCTTTCTTGCAATCCCTAAAAACAAATACAAAGTGCACTAACAAATAAACAAAATATAATAATAAACAAGAGTAAAAATCGTTAAAAAATAATGTAAAATGCGTCCACAGTATTTCCAACAAACATTAGTGCGAATCTACGGCTCAAATACTTTTATTTGACTTTAAGGTGGATCAATTATGTTATCTTATTTATTGATCGCAGTATTTGCTTAGAATGTAAGAGTAAGTGTACAACTTAGAACTTAAATACTAAAAAGAACAGCTTAATCGATCTTTAAACTTTTCGTTTTAACCCTTTCAGATATGAATTATGAATATGTTATATAAATTTTCGGTCCCAACTAGAATTTTGTACAAAATACCCTTTTCGGAATTTTCTTCTTCTTTGGGTACCGTGCCCAAGTTTTAGGCGTGGGTAGCTTCCATAACGATTTTCCGATATCGTTCTCGATCTTGCGCGGCATGCAATAATTCATCTGCTGATAAGTCAGTCCATTGACGAAGGTTTCGGAGCCATGAGTATTTCTTCCTACCAATTCCTCTTTTTCCGTCGATCTTTCCGTTGAGTATCAACTGCATTATCCTGTATCTGCTTCCTCTTATTATATGCCCCAGATAATCTGAGTCATTTTTTATCATCTTTATTAAGCCACCTTCACCTTGGTTTACTCTGTTCAAGACCTCTCTATTTGAAATGTGTTGAAACGAAAATGTAAATGATATTCTTAGCATTCTACGATATAATCTAATCTCGAAGGGTTCTAATTTGTTCATCATGTTCTCCTTTATAATCTATACTTGAACTAAAATATTCGGCACACCTTAACTGAACCCCTAACTCTATAAAACCACTTTAATCCTACACGAATTGGTTGTGTATGGGTATTGGTAATCATGTATGATTACCAATATCCATACATTGGGTATGAAAATATTTATAATATACACCAGAAATTAGAAATGTAGTAGTAAACAATTTATTTATTAAAGAAACTGCAACTTATAGGCTATATAGGGATGCCTTTTTGACATATTTTTTACAAACTCAAAAGCAGTTTGCAAAATAAGTAAAATAATAAAAGCAAACATAAGTTTTTCCTGTAAAAGACGTATTTGATGTTCAAAGTTCTTTTAAGACGTATTGGTTTTCGGTATACTCTTTTTTGGATACTATTACTTCTTACTTTAATATAGGTATTTATTTGAACATTTAGAACCTCCAAAAATTGGAAAATGTTTGGATGGCAAGTTGAAACAAAGAATTGAATTTTGAATGGAAACTTTCGCATGCATTTGTCGTTAAGGTAAAATAAAGAAAATAAAAAGAAGTCGTTCTTTGTAGAGACGTACTATTTTCGGCCCACATGGTAGGTGGAAATATGGCGTCTTCAGCAATGTAGTTAGTTCCCCTTCCAAGAAATCTGCAAATTTTTGAACTGGTGGATGTTTGGGTAAGATTGCTACAATATCAATCGCAAAACAATCGCCTACGTCTTCAGAGTCCAAAAAAGACAGACTAAACACGTATTTTAAGTAACACGAAATGTCTGATTATTTCAAATATTTCATTTCCAAGCCCAGTTTCTCAATCTTTTGAAACTTTTTCATATAATTAAAGTTTATATAAACCAGGGGTGACCAATTTAATTAGACTCGAGATCTACTGTCTGCCTTTCTTATTCTTTGCGATCTACCTACTAGCCATTTTTTAACGATACAGGCAAGCAATAAAACTTTGAATCCAGAATTTTAAAGTTAAAAGTGAGCTGAATATCTCAGAGTCGTTTACTATATCTCAATTCCTGATTTTCTTCTTCTTCTTCTTTTTTTACGTAGACATGACTGTCTGTTTTTTAATGTGCCTCCAGTAAGTTGTCGTTTTATCTTTTTCGTGGTCTTCCTACTGATCTTTTCCTATTGGGGAACCGTTCTTGCCGTCTTTACTACTCTATTTGTTGTCATTCGGCTTATATGATCATTCTACTCTACTATTCTATTTTTTACCCAGTTCTTAATCTTCTCCACCTTGCATATACGTCGTATATCTGTACTTCTAGCTCTGTCCCATAGTGTCTTGCCATCAATTTTTCTGTTTTTATCTCTGCTGTTTCTAACATCCTTTTTGTCCTCTCTATTTCAACTCTTATTTCTGCCGTGTACGTCATTATTGGTCTGATGACTGTTTTCGAGCTCCAATTTACATCTTAGTAAACGAAAATATTTTGCCTACCACATGGGTTATTAATATAAGGGGTAGAACACTCAGGAAAGAAACTATGGGAGGGGGGAGATAGGGCAAGCAAAATAAACGCTACTTGTCCGAACGGCACTCAGGGTTTGTTAGGAGTGCTGGGGTCGTGGATAAGTAAATGTCAAGGGGTTGGGTTGGGGCAACTACAGAGAAAAGAAACAAAAGGGGTACTAACATAATCTCTTGGGACAAACAAAATAAAAACAGGAAACACCTCTAGTAATTTAATATAGGGCGCCACTTTGAGGTACCCAATTATAACTATTACAACAGCTAGTTGTAACTAGGGAAATAATTATTAAAAAATCAAAACATGTCTGGGCGACATTTTTGTAACGATAACTTGGGATACTATTAAAAAAAAGGGATTAATTAAAAAAAATAGACAAAATGTCAAGAAACAAAATTTAACATTTATTGTTGTGTCACCACGAACAGTTACAATAATAAGACAACGCAAAAAATATTACCTCAAATATACAAAATACAAAAATACAAAAAACTTACATATGTCATCTGTTTACAAACTCTGTTGCTACAAAACTTACAAAATTGCATGGAGGTTAACCTTTTTTTAAAAAAACAAAACAAATCAATATCAAAGATACTAAAACGAGATGTCATAAATGTAACATTCAATTTAAAACAACAATTAAGATGACAGCTAAAGTTAAAATCTAAAATTTACAATTTTTTAATTATTAAAAATATTAAATAAAAAATTGGATTTCACTTGATCATACATTAAGTTTCTGAAACCATAACTGGGGTTCTCTGAACACGAACACAAGAACAAAATCATCTCCACTGTGAATAGGATCGACCATTTGAAACCAAAGCCGGCACTGAACAAAACTTATGGCTTTGTCTCTTAAAAAAAGGTAGAATTGGACCACAATTAAATCTTAAATTGCCACTATTAACTGCTACATAAATTATTTTCCATACCGAAGAACAAAAGAACATTACAAATTATTCATGAAAAGAGACGAAAACAGAAAACTTTACAAATTCGACGAAAAATTTGGACATAACGTTGAAGACCACCGCTATTCACCGCCGCTCCAACGAAAGTGATATAATTATCTTTTAAAATGGATCGCATAAGTTAGAATAAACAAAACGCTGAAATAAACAAAACACAACGAAAATTAAGATGTAAATTATTAATTTGAAAACGCAGTACATCGGGCGGCTTTAATCAAAGTGTTTTAATACTTACAAATAGGAAACTGAAATACATTAAAAAATATTCTGCGATTTTTCAAACATTTATGAGGGGATTTCAATATATTACATATACGAGGGGATTTCAATATATACCAAAAAATCAATAAAATTGCAAATGCTACAAATTTGGTGTTGTAACCATGCATTTTGTCTTTCAGAATTCTCAGTCTCTCAGAATCTCTCAGAAGTCTCAGAATCGAATTTATAAAAAATAAGAAATGGCAATAAGTGACTCTCAGTTTGGATTTATAAAAGTCTTGAGAATAAGAGAGGCGTTGTTTGCGGTTCAGACACTCATTCAAAAATGCCTTTGTCGACAGAAAAAAGTATATCTCTTTTTCATCGACTACCAGCTTTTTGTGATAGTTGATAGTTGATAGATGATAGTTGATAGTGGATATACTACACAAGAATCATCCACACATAACCACAATTGACCGGTTCGAAGTTGTGAGCTCATACCTATATCTGGGATCATTAATTACAAACACAGGGTCATTACAAGGAGAGATTAAACGTAGATGTGATCTAGCAAAAATTGCCACAGCAAAAATGACCAAAATATGGAAGGAATGTCAAATTTCAAGAGCGATAAAGATGAGGTTGATCAACTGCTTAATATTCCCAATACTGAACTACAGATGTGAATCTTGGACTCTGAGATAATCGGAGAGAGAAAAGATAGACGCCACTGAAATGTTCTGTTGGAGACGAATATTACGAATTCCTTGGGACCGACCGTAGAACAAATAATTCAATTTTAAGAGAGCTAAAAGTTAGCCAACGACTCTCTAGTAAAGTCCATCTCCAACAATTAAAATATTTTGGGCATGTTATGAGAGCAAACACAGAAAACATGGAAAGACTCATAATACAAGGAAAGGTAGAAGGCCGAAGATCACGAGGAAGATCCCCAACAAGATGGATAGATCAAATTACAGGAATATGCCAAAGACCTATGCATGAATTAAAAGAAATGACCAGAGACAGAGATCTCTGGAGACGGACAATACACGACATCATGTCGACCACTACACTCCCCCTGGGGGGTCAGGATTGAAGAGAGAGTCCAACTTTTTATACGAGTCCAGCATGAAAAATTCTTGTATGAACTACAGAAAATGAAGCTAGATAAAAAAAATCTGGTATTCGACAAGGCTGTGTCACGTCTCCATGCATATTCAAATAACACCCACAGACGACCAATGGTCATGGGGGAATAAATGTTTGTTTTATTATGAGAGCTTGTAATTTAAAGCAATCATCATTTCTGAATCTGAGAGAATAGATTTTCTTTCTATCTATATTAACTATTCGTTAACGATAATTTTAGAATTACTTTGATCTAGATACAACATATTCCTGATCAAATATCAGTTGTAGGAAAAGTTTAGTATGCAAAAACAAAAATTTACATTAAATATCATTGTACAACATTCAATTTATGAGATTTAAATCTCCTGATCCAATTTTTAACTGGCCATCTACTCCACTCCAATAAAATCCATCATCGGGAGCCAATTCACGCAAAC